ATGTCACTTGATGGTTTCCTGAGAGTATGGCAAATCCATCTCCATTTCTTCCTGCATATTTGTTTCACAATTGGTTCCTGGTTGGTTCGCTCCAGAGATCTTTGTTGCTGATCTTTTCTGGCCTGGTCTCTTTCTCATGATAAACACTATTGATATTAAACAATTAAAAAATAGAATTTAAGTATTGCTTTGCAGGGATTTTATTTGACTGGTTATAGGGTTTCATCATGAGCTAACGTCATTTAGAGAACCATTGGAAAGCCTGCATAGGGTACTGAACAGCCATTTCGTCCTGGTTTGGGACTCTCCATCAGCGCGCACCCTCCACCAGGGTTCAGACCCAGGACCTACTGGTTATCAGCCAAACTCATGAATCCGATCCAATGGCCCACGCATGAATTCCAGCTTCCGTCAATTCACGAAATAGAGTGACCACTAGCCGATTTCATCGTCGACGAATGTTTGTGCTCAAAACCGACTTGCTGTTGCCCACTGGTTACCATTTCCTACTAGAACCCGGGTAACTACCAACATGATGAATAGGGTTAGTCGCTAGTGAGCATCATACTGATAATCGAGTTTTGGTTTGCAGGGATTTGAATTGAAAAATCTTCTTGAAATTGCGAATTCAGTTCTTCTGTTTTTTTAGAATAAAGTTCATCCATATTGTCACTACTTACTCAGTTGGCGTACTACGTAACTATATGTCTTTGGTATAGGTCACAATTTAGTGAACAATCAATTTTAAAAATTACATTCTATTAAGCTTTATTGAAAAATATTAAAGATTGTATCACATAAGTTACTGTGTGCGTCGGTATTTCAATGGTAGAATGCTCGCCAATCAGGCAAGCGGTCCGAGGTTCGACCCTTGAACAATGCACTCCGAAAACTCACTTAGCAGGTAATAAGCTTGGTCAATAGGGACAGTTGGGTGTGAGGCTAGTAAAACCACCCTGTGAAAAAAAATAAATACCACTACTACTGAAACTTCCAACCTCAAGCTTGAAGCCCTGTGTTCCACTCGGAACGCAAATGAAGAAAAAACAAGCGTAGGTTATAAGAATGTAGTAGACACAAAATATTTTAAAGTAAGTAGATATGCGTTGGTAGCACAGCAGTAGGATACTTAACGACCACTCATGTGGTCAGGGGTTCAATCTCCGACCGTCGCTCTCCTTAACCCCGCTAAGCCAGTTATAAGACTATTAAAGAGGGAAGGTTGAGCATGGGACTTGCAACTCCACCCCGTAAGAGAATAATAACATTAATGCTACCGAAACTCCAAAGCTCTAGCTTGAAGCCCTATGTTCCACTACGAACGTGAAGGAATAAAATAAAATAATTAATAAAATAAATGTGAATCAGCTAGCTACCTATATGAATGATGAAACTTTCAAAAGTAAACATAATTATCCGTCATAATGTAATATATCATATCATATGGAAACAATGGGACTACTATAGGGAACGAATTCAAAACAAAGACACTACCATGTCAATGTGTGTAGAATAGCAAATCAAGCATTACTAAAGCATAGCAGTATCACAAATGCTAAAATAAGTTTTTTTCAGCACTGTGCTGTTGATGAGACTAACTGAAAATATTGACAAACTAACATTCATTTAATGGCTATTGATCTCACATGAAAAAAAATCAGGCTGCTGTAAGTGTCGAACCAAAGTTTTTTGGTATTGTTGTGCTTTCAAAGCTAGATGGTTTAAATTACGAAGCTTTCATTGTCTTTCTAGACAGAATCTTCAGAGCATACTTCAATGTAAAGTGAGATTTTAAAATCCTCTGTGAACAAAATATCTGCCTTCTCTGATGACCTAGGCTGTCACTGATTGTCTTATAGGATTTTCTTATAACCATACAGTGTTAATACTGATGTTCTCTCAATATTTGACGTTTCGGTCGTGTGACATATTTTTATTGATCGGTAAAAATCAGTGACAGGGAGTTCCAAGAAATTCCTTAAAGCCTGGTCGAAGTCATTCAGAAAAGCAGATATTTCATCCAAAGAATATTCTAAAAACTCACTTTACATTGAAGTTAATGCTGAAGATACTGCCTAGAAAAACGATGGCAGCCTCACAATAAACCATATAGCTTAGATAACACAATAATAACAAAATCATTCATCTAAACTACAACTCCTCTCCATTAATTCAAAACTAAAGACGTCTGGAGTGGCAGCTTGGCTTTTTGCCAACTCAGCTATAATCCACAGGTAGTAATTATTTTACATTCACTCATCAACTTTTATATATTAGTATCAGTCTTCTGGGTAATTTCACTAACATTTGATAGCGTGCATTACCTTTCTAATTTAGTTTGATTGTAATTAAGGTTATTTTTTTTATCTGGTTAGACAGCTATTGGTAATATTTTACACTGATAGTTATGCACTAGAGAGAGAGACAGCGAGTTTAAAATATTCATTTTCTGAATGTAATTCAGTGGGTAGAGTACTGAGCTAGTGATGCCTAGGCCGTTATTAGGGAATCCTATTCTCAAGCAAACTTTTATTTTGTTTCAAAGCAGTAAAATAGTTAAGAGAAGGAAATTGTTAAACTAATTGCTCAAGTTTTTATCCAGAAATCAGCCAGTAACCACAGGAAAACGTTGTGCACCATAAAAGTTAAAAGTTTAATTAATGCAAGTGGACTTTTTTAATTTTCTTCCTTATATATGCTGAGTACAGTATTGGTGTGTTTCAATTTGATGTTTGTAGTGCAGCTTTTATGCAGATAGGCTGATTATTGTATAATATATAAAATAATGCAAACAAGTTCTGGGTTCGAACCCTGACGGTGGGTGCGTACTGGTGAAGAGTCCCAAACTGGGACGAGACAACTGTCTAGTACATCCAGATTTTCCAATGTTTTGAGCGTCGGTGGTTCAGTGGCAGTATATTGGCCAAACACGCAATTGGTCTGATGTTCGATTCCTGGCCGACGCACTCCTATACCTCAGTCGGTAGTAAGCCAGGCAAAAAGGGAAGGTTGGGAGTTAGGCTAGTAATCTTACCCTGTAAAAAGACATCGGTGCTACTGAAACTTCAGAAGTTCCGACTTGAAGCTCTATGTTCCACTGGAAACGACAAGGAATAAAATAAAAATAAAAATGTAAGCTGAAGCAAGTGAAACAGAGAAATGAAACTAGGGCATCTGTGACTACTCTACTGGCAGATATCATAATGAGTTATACTTCTTATAATAATAATAATTTTTACGAAGTAATATTACTCCTAGGAATTAATGCAAGTAGAAAATGTAGTCTAACTAACTAGTAAGTTGAAACTTGTTTGAAGCAAGTGATTAATCCTACTGAGAAATTTCTAACCCCATATCAAGTTATTCACTGGTGAATTATTAAAAGTATGACCTGGAAATCTATTTAGATATAGTCATACTAGAGATTTAAAACTGATTTTATTTATTAATGTGAAACAACAAATAGGCCGATATCCACCAATATTTCTTGTGTAATATTCTTTTTATGGTGGTATATTTAAAACACTTACCACAACCCTCTACCTTGTACTTTTATTGTTTGTGTTGTTAAACATGTAAAAATCACTCCTTCTAAAACTTTCATGTACTCCTTTGCGTAAAACAGCTAGTTCACAATATACATATATATTAAATTGAGATATGATTGGTTGTATTCTCATCCTTTTGAAATTACAGTCCTGCATTGCAAAGAGACAAACTTTTAAACTGAATGTTGTTTTATTGAGGAAAATAGTTCTGTGTCTGACGTAACACGTCAGTGTAACTTAATCTCTTGTCGGTATCTTTCAGTAAAATAGCATTAGTAAAAATACTATGATAAATTAGTCTATTACTTATACTTCCAGCCTCATCGGCATGTCATTACTGAGAAACGATATAATATGATGATGTTGGTTGATTTGTATTTCAAAAGAATGGTAATTGAACAATGAATATTTCTTTCGATAACGCCTTCTTCATCAGGTTCTACAGTTATACATGCATAGCAGTCAATGAATTAGAGTTAATAACAACATTAATGTTGTTTGAATAACATTGAATCAATAATAATATCAGAGAAATTATGAAAAATATTAATAATACAGATTCAAGAATATATAGTCTCCACTGTAGGCTTCCGTAAACAAGAAGTCTTTATACATACGACTGCAATTCAAGGGCAGTATACTCAGCTAAATAATTATGAAGAAGTTAAGGAAATCAGTTCAGAGAACTTTTAATTCTGGCAAACTACAAGTCTTATTTTCTACACAACCGATGGGGATTCCTCAAATGAAAGATTAAGCACCCAGACTAGTCGTTTCTGATTGTATCTACCAATTCAGCTGTACTTGTGGAGTGAGTTATATTAGCTGTTGCTCTAGGGACTTCGAAACATCTACCAGTGTGGTTAAACAGAGGTGCAGTCATAAGCACCAACAACTCCATGACAGAACACCTGATACAAACTAGTCACAAAGCCACGATTGAAGAATCCTTCTCCATCATCTATCGGTTACCAGATAAATTACCAAAAACATCGAGGTACCACATAATCCAAACAGCAGAGGCTATCGAGATTCACCTGAAATAACCAGTGCTCTATGCGCAGAAGAAGCAAGTCCAGCCACTACTTCTGCCCTGACTGGCCTTCGGTGGAGACTATAAATTCATGAATCTATATTATTATTATTTTTCCTAATTTCTCTGATATTGAGCGTATTGTTGTGTTGATGCTATTGAATTGTAATCCGTTGACATTATTATTATTATTGATTCGATATTATTCAAACATCATTGATGTTGTTGATAAGACTAATTCATTGACTATTATGTTTATATATAAATGCAGAAGGTGATGAAGAAGGCGTTATCGAAAAGAATATTCTTTGTTCGGTAACTGTTCTTATTTTCTTCGAGAATATATTGTAATTTGATTTATGCTACTATCTATCTCATCCTTATATTTAACTGCAAATATTCTCCACTTTGCATTGTAGATGGGGTACACAAGGTGATTTTTCAACAAATCAACCACTTCCTACAGTTAAAGTTAAACTGTACGCTGAAAGTTCAGGTCTTTTGTCACTTGACAGTGGTAAAGAATTAGGACGTGTAAGTTCATTTTTTATTTTTACTTTATTTCTGTTTTTCCTGAAGTGTCTCTCATAAAAGAAATTATTATAACATACATTATCACAAAGTTAAACAGTGTGAATTTCTTTGTCTTTATTTTCCACCTACTCAACTGATTTCCTCAAGGGAAATCACTTTTCGAGTGGTTTTTCAAGTGCTCATTTGCGGAGATTTTATCGGTTTCAAGTTAGCACATGTAGTGATACCATTCAGAGAACTATTTAACACAAGGGAGCACTAGAGAGCTGTTTCGTCCACGTTTAGGACTCATCAACAGTATGCACCCATGACATCCTACTAGAGATTGAACCCAGGGCCTTCAGATTACGAGACAATACTAACTGATGATCATTCATTCAAAGCAAAACCAGCTGGTTTTAAAAATTTGTTCTCTCCGTTACTAAACTTCATATGCTATACCGAGATCTCAGCTATACCTGAGGAATTTTTTCTACTGAAAATTGATGTTGAATGTGTGATTGGAAATCTCTTTTCCTCCTCCTTCTCCTGCTCCTCCACATCCTCTTTCTCTGCCTTTCCGGAAATTGGAATTCCCATCTTGTTTTTTATCCAAAAATGAATCACCATTTTTGTTTTTCCTTTTATCTCCCTGTCTTTCTCAAACCTAGTCACTGTATATTCCAAATTACATTCCGTATTATAATTAAACACTTTAATCCAACAGTCTGCATAGGCTAAATTATGATGCATCGTTTATTGAACTTTGTGAATAATTTTCTTCACCCTGTTCTTCTGCATATTTTCACTTTGAGGTTGGTTTATTTTAATATTATTTCTGTTTCACCATATGATACTCAACAACAATAACAACAACAACCATTGACAGCGGAAATGACTGATATGAAATTTGAGTACGTCGACAGGATTTTCTTGTTATAATTTTGAAGTGTAAGCATAGGTTACTTAGTGATTTTTCTTATACCATTCTATTTTTGTCTTGTGTGTTATTTTTTTTAAAAATTTCTCTGTGTGAGTTAGTTGGGCAAGTGTTAAATTACCAAGGATAAATTTTGTGTCTAGTTGTTGGTTTAAGTTGAAAACAAAAGGCTGTGTAATTATCAATACATAAAACTGTGGTTAAGTCAGTGGGAAAAAGGAAATTATTTTGTTGCATTTAAAACTTGGGATCAATCAGCTTGTAAGCAACCGCTAAAATAACGATCTTGTGAAGTGGAACACTTAAAACACAGATAATATATAATGTGATTCCTCCTTCTTGTCGGTTAATCACAATTGCAACAGGATTTCTAAGTAAACATCTTTAGCATTTCATGCCATATGGTGAAAAATACTGCACAGCTATTTCATCCTAGTATGGGATTCCTCATCAGTATGTCCCTACTGCCAGGGTTCGAACCCGGGACCTTCCATTTGCAAGGCGAGCTCGTAGATCATTCCGCCACTGGGACCTGAATCAGTGACCAGCCCATGAATTCTAACTTCTGCCAATTCATGATTTTAGGACGACCACTCGCCAGTGTCATCATCTAAATATAGATCATATCAATGATATGATTATGAGCAATAGTTTGTGCTTGAAACGTCATCAGTAAATATTACTGTATAACACTGTGAGACTCTATCAAAATAAAAATTTACCCATAATGGAATTACACTCTACCACAGTGCCCAAGTTTTATTCTTATATCCAGGAAAATTCGTCCTGTAACCAGTCACTAGCAAGCACCTGATTTAGTTTCGGGAGTTACTTTTTGAAGGGATTTGATTTGTTTCAAGTTTGAACACGAATTGATATCAGTCAGAGAACCAATCATTGAAAACTTTACAGTCACCGGATTCCATCCCAGTGGATGGTTAGTCAAAGAACTCGCCTTGTAACCTAAAGGTTCTGAGTGTGATACTTGAAGGGGCCATGCGTGCGTACTACTGAATTGAAGCAAAGTGCGACTGAACAACACCCTTTGGTTTCCAGTAGTTCCTGTGATCATACTTGAAATAAATATATTCCTAATACTGATATTCGATTTCTGAATTCATCACACTATTAGGAATACCTACTCATGTTGCATAATAATAGATATCAGTGAAAGTTAATCCTTTTTTCCGGAATAAAATAATAACAACTACTGGTTTTGTTGGGAATTTTGTTTGATCGGCTACTGGATTTCATCATTAGCTGACATCATTTAGAGCACTGGAACCACTGGAGTACTGGGCAGTTGTTTCGTCTTAGTTTGGGACTCTTCATCAGTTCGCACTCAACCGGGGTTCGAACCCAGGATCTTCTGGTTACAAGGTGAGCTCGTAGACCATTGAGCCACTGGGTGAATATTTTCCCTTCAGAATATTCAGAATGAAGATTACTTCTATTATTCAGCTCTTATGAATGTTACCTAAAAGGCAATGGTAAACAATATAAAAATAAAATTCAGTTATAGTTCAGTTGGTGCAAAATGAAAATTTGATATCACTTAATATAGGTAGAATATTAACAAAAGAATTAAAATAAGTCATCAGTAATATTAAAATTCTCAAATATGAGTGACTTTTAATCTACGTATTAATATCACTGATGGACTACAATAATTCACTGTCAAAATATGATGAACAAACTGGTAGTGGAAAGCTTTTTTTACTGTTAAAATGAAATCGCAAACATTAAGTTTGGTGACCCCAGTGACTTATCAGACAATTTCGATATGTACTGTCCAAACTCCTTACGTCTGTTAATTAAGTGCAGGTAACGAAAATAAGCAGTGAATACCTTATCCTCAAGGGGCAATAAATGTTAATCAAATATAAAATTAGAATTTTATGAATTCGGTAACCATGAAGAATGAATACACCTCCACAGTTCCTACTTATCGACTTCTGCTTTGCTGACTATAGTATTGTTCAGTAGGGAATTAATTATCCCTAATTTAAATTGTTTATATATATAACTTTAATGACAATAATTTTATTACTTAATATCATCAAAAAAAAATGTTGAATTTTCCCTTTTTAGATTATTTTAAATCCTACATGTACAGGAAATCGACAACCAGAATGGTATAAATTACAAGTTGCAAAAAATATTCCCGATGATTTGAGCATACAGTTGACACTAAGAATGGATAAACCAAATAACCTGAAACATTGTGGTTATCTGTATGCATTGGGTAGAACAGCATTTAGAAAATGGAGACGACGTTATGTCTGTTTAATACAAGTATGTTGTTTTCAGTATTATTATTATTTTCATAACTTCCGTTTGGTTTTTCTAATTTTCATGCATTTAGATGATTATTGAAGGTGGTAACGTAGGAAGTTGAGTTATCAGCGAAATTTCTATACTAGTTAACCTGTGCAATATTTGATTTGTTAGGAATTCTCGCATTGAGGACTGTTTTAAGGTTGTTTTTTTCATTGTCTGAAAACTGTTTTCTGAAATTATTGAATTCAGTTTTTTTTATATACTAACTTTTAATTGGTGTTTCATATGTACATACTGTGTAGCGCTTGTAAAAACTTGGTTGATTAAATTAAAGATTTTTTTACTTTATCATTTGGACTGAATTTATTTCAGTATTTGTTTTACTTTCGCCTAATGGAGTTGTATTTTTTCTTTCTGCTTCAAAATATTGTCTTTTATTTGTGACAAGAAATTTTGGACATGGTATCCAGATGAAAGTAATCAAACTATTGATTTTAGTTTGTGTGTATTGTCATGTAATGCATTGACTAAGATGGCTAGGACACATGTTGCGCATGCGGAGCAATCGTCTTCCTCAACGGATTAGGTTTGGAAAGAGTTAGGCATGGTCGAACCAAAAGTTATCATTATTATTATTTATGTTATTATCTCCTTTATTTCCTAGAGGAACATAGGGCTTCAGCCACACGTCTTTATTGCGCTCGGTTCTCTGCCAACATTTTCACCTGGCTCCACTTCTGCCCACATGCTTTCATCTCCTCTTCGCATGACCTCCTCCTCCATGTCACCCTTGAACGAACAACTCGCCACTTCCCAATCGGGTTCCACTCGACAGCCTGTTTGTGATGTCACTTTATGGTTTGTTTTCTCGGAGGATAGCCAGTCCACCTCCATTTTTTCCTGCAGATTTGTTGCACAATCGGTTCCTGGTTGGTTTGCTCCCAGAGATCTCTGTCGCTAATCTTTTCTGGCCGACCATTTGATCTTCAATATTGAGCAAAGACAACTGTTGATGAAAGTCTGTGGTTTGTTCGAAGTGCCCCTTGTGACTCACCAAGTCTCTGATTCGTGTAGTAAGTAGCACTGACTTCAGACTAGAGTTGAAAATCCGGATCTTGTTTTTCATGTTGAGGAGTGCTGTTGATCTCCATAAAGACTTGAGAGTAATGAAAGCGTGCGTGCCTTCCCCGATAATTCTCGCTTTGATATCCTCATCAGTTCTGCATCAGTTCACGAAATCTCTGACAGTTCATTTGAGCCACTCAAAGAAGTGTAGACTGCTTGCGTAGGGTACCAAGAATCAATAACTGGAGACTTTTGGTGATATGGCTTAAAATGCCTCTCATCGGCGCAGATGCACTCACTATTGTGATCTCTCATGTCCACTACACCAATAGTTTTTCTATGCTACTATTCTTCTTCCTGCACCCTTCTGCTTGTTATCGTTCTTCTGAATCTCTTCTTATCTGTCGTTTGTCAAATTCTGTGTGCTACATCGGGTGTGACAACATAAACTACTGCATGTCTGTGCAAAGTTCGATGTCGAGACTCATTCATTCGTTCATTCATTCAGTCAGTATTCACAATTCACCATTCCAGATTTACTATATAAAGCAACAGATAGTCAAATCAACATAGTAAGAATAGATTCCCGTTGGTCACTGATGAAAATGTGAAATAGTAGAAGTGAATGACAACTATCAGATGGTGGCAAATCAGCAGAATGCTCGCCAACTAAGCAGGTGATCTGGGGTTCGATCCTCAGCCGGTGCACTTCTTTAGCTCACCAAGCCAGTAATATGATTGATGAAGAGGGAAGGTCGGGCATGAAGCCAGCAACCACATCCCGTAAAAATGTACACCACTGCTACAGAAACTTCATAGCTCTAGTTTGAAGCCCTATGCTCCACTAGGAATGTAAAGGAATAAAAAAAATAATAATTAGATTAACTTACTTCATTTTTATGTCAGAGATTTATGTAACTGTTTTTGACTGGAGCGCCAATAAACCAGTAGACATATGTTTCCTACCCTTAATTAAAACTTGATATAAATTTTAATGTATGCGAAGTTTGTTTGACTCCATTTCAACGACTAAGTGCTAACACCGAAGATTTCGTCAAACTATTCACTATTTCTCACTTGTCTGTTCTCTTCTAAATATTGTCATTCGATGATAAATTGTACCATGAATAATCTCATTCCTCTAACGGTAATATTTATTTCTTAGGTAGGAAGGATTAACGCTTAGTCCCCTTCCTTTCATTACTCTCTACTTGCTTTATTTTTCATTCTTTATCTAATTTTGTATTGAGTACATGTTCATTTTATTTAAGGAGTGTTCATAACCGATGACCGTAAGTTTTAAAGGTGTTTCTACCTCATCAGTTATATAGATAATTATAATAAGCAAGTGAAGAAAAATAGCACATTTAACTCTGCTCTAATAAAGAAAAAAACAGTGAGAGGGTATCAGCTTTACAGTTGAATTAATCTCTCAACTTTTCACGTATGCAATTCCTATTATTATTAGTCATAGTAGTATTATCTATTAAGGAAGTATATATTATTTTAGTCACGTAAATTCATTTTGTGTGAAATGAATGCACTGACACAAGCAAGCTATCATAGTCGAATAGAATATTTCTGATATTCTTTCATTCATGAACGTGTGCAAAACCAATTTCATCACTTATCATTTTGACTCGATCACGAAAGCTGTAAGATAAAAATAAAAACCTCAGTCATAAATTTTAGAATAATTTCTAATCATATGACTGATAGACATCTTTGTAATGCATCCTGTTACTCTATATATAATAATACTGAACTGTTTAAACAGTTGTAAAGCTGCATAACAAACATTTTTGAAAAGTCATTATTATTCTAAGTCTAAACAAAAAGGTGTGATTTTATAATTAAAAAAAAAAACAGTTTTGCACATTTCCTCTTACTGTTACAACCAAAACGGATTCGTTGGCGGGTAAACACAGAGAGAACCGATCACTGCACCCTACTATCTAGATGTTCAAAACTTCCTTGAGATACGCACAGTCACGAATCGCTCCAAAGACAGTGAAAGACGATTATTCTAGAATAATTCTGTGGTTTTATTAACAACAAAACTCAAAATTACCTAAACAGTGGCGTTAGGCAGCTATACAGTCTAGTGTAAATAAAAAAGTAGTACTTAGAATCAAGTAGAATATTCCCAAAATACATGGAATCAAAATCTTTGTCCACAAGAATCATGCATCAAGATACTTCCTGCGGACAGTCGAAGGTCAGCATAACCTTCATTCACTCAAATAAAATTGCATCGTAAAACAACACATTATCATTGTGCACACAACCATGATAAGAAGCATTAAAACTGGAAATTAAACAGTCACAAAGACAAATTATTATTTTTATTGTTATTCGCTTGAGCTGCGAGTAGAACATAGGGCTTCAGCAACACATCTCTACTTTATTCTATTTTTGATGATGTCCTCTTCAACTGAGTCCTCTCATCTCCTCATCGCATGATCTCCTCAATGTCACCCTCGGACGACCCGCTTGTCGTTTCACCTTGGGTTCCACTCGAGCGATGGCTTACATTCAGTGCCATGTCATTCGATGGTCGCCTCAGCGTATACCCAATCTATCTCCTCTTTCTCCTACATATTTCTTGAATGACAGGTTTTTGGTTAGTTGGTTGCCAGAGTTTCTTGTCGTTAATTCTTTCTGGTCTGCTGGCCATTTAATCATCAGTATGGAGATAGGGAGGTGGGTAGCTGTTAACAAAAATCTTCAGTGGCCTGTTGGAAGTGCTTTTTGTGATGCGCTGCCCAAGTTTGTGACCGATATACAAGCACTAGCTTACTTCACATTTGTGTTGAAAATCTGAATCTTGTTGTTTATTCTGAGGCGGAGTGCAGAAGATTTCCGAACTGGTTTCAGATTGATGAAGATGTATCTGGCCTTTCTGATTCTGGCTGACTTTGACATCTTCATCCGTTCTGACTGCCTATGGTTGAAACGACGCTTTCTAGATAAAGGAAAGTGCGTTGAAGTTTCTATAGCAGTTTGATTGGTTTTTGTGGGGTTGGATCGCTAGCCCCACGTTTAACCCTCCCTCTTTACTCGGGCTTGGTACTTGCTAGAAAACTAGCTAGCTAGTAAACAAGGAGAGATCAGAAAGACAAATAATAAGGATCACATCAACACTTGATATGCAAATGATAAGACAGTGATATACAGTCTAGAAGAAAAAAAACGGTCGGTAATTACAAAGTTAGCTGATATGTCTAAATCAGTGCAAATAATGTGACTTGATCGTTCGGCAGGGATTTTCTACACAATCTTTCCATTACACGTACATAACTTGACATAATACTGCAACACACTGAACAATCAATCAATTTCACTTCAATAGGGATAATTTTGTTTATGCATAGTTCTTCTTGTTCTCTTCTTCATATTTTTTCTTAGAACACTAACGATATTCAATTAACAAACATAAGAAGACTATACACTTTCGGTTATCTTTATTTTGTAACTATTAACTAATTTAGAAATAAATTTTTATGATCACTTTGGTACTTACTTATAAGTTATACGTAGGTTACTCTAAAAACACACGGACCATGTAAAAGACGATGTACACTATCTATTTCACTTTAGCTGATTACACTTCAAATTTAACATGACTGATGAAGAAGAAGGAGGAAGACACCGTCAACTGATTTTCCTATTGTATCATTTTTCATATGGTTCAAACATTTCCAACAAGCAGCTGCATACTTTCACCAATAGCCACCTTCTCTTGATATTCAAGATGAAATAGCTGACAAGAAAGGGTGAGCAATAAAGAACTCTGTTAGGCAGAGAATCAGCCAAGAAACCATCACTCAGCAAGTATGCAGAAGGAACGTGGGATTCGATTGAAAATACTCTGAGTACACCATCAAGTGCTAATCACACTATTGGTCATCGAGTGAAAGCCGGATAGAAAGTGATAAGCTGGGCTTTAG